TCAAGATGCGATGTAGCGAGGAACGTGGTCAGCGGCTCCCAGGAAGAGAGGCTAGAAATGCCACTAATTGGCACTACGTATCTGTCTTGCGTGAACCGTAGATCTACTAGACACGCAGGAAGCATAACATCCGTGACATGTTCTCGTTGAATAGCGCGCAGGCTCTCAATGCCTTTTATTTTGTTGCCCGACACTGAGAGGCGAAGCTCGAGGAGAGGTGCCGGAGGAAAAGTAGTGTAAAAGTTCGGCGTTCCGTTCTTTTTCTTTCTTGGCCACAGGTTCTGGTAAGGGGTGGGCCAGAATCGAGCAACCACAGAGGTTTTAGTTTCGACAGGCGATTGCGATCCACTGTTGATATTGGAGAGTTGTACGGCGTGCGGTGTTGCAGCGGCAAACACACGGGGGTGGTTGGCAACTAGGAGGCCGGGTAGGGCAGGAGGTGTGGCAGATGGGTTGTGCGCATGCAGCAAAGAGCCAAAATGGGCTATTGTAGATACATGGAACTCCTCGGCCCACTTTGCGCTCTGAAGGGAAGATGGCTTCCTATTCGTCAAAGGCTCATGTGGCTCGTTAGGGATAGAAATTTCGGGCGACGACACAATTGGAAGCTCAAGTTTGCTGAGTGGTTCTTCTATCGCTGGACCACTGTCCTCGGATGCTACTGGTAGTATATAACGAGCCCATGCAGCGGTTCTGTCGTGCCATGCTAGCTTCTCTTTACTGGTCGTGTTCATAACAAACCTGCCTGTAGGCTTATTTTCTAGGCCCGCAGCCATGAGAGTTCTTGTTGTTGCTGGTTGTGGATTGCAAGCGGTAAGGAGTAGGCGGCATGCTTCATCGCCTTGGGATGCCAGGTCTGTAGGACCCTCAGTATCAATCCAGGTTATGCGGCACTGCAGAAATAAAGTTAACACGGATACAAGAAGCATTCTTCGGAGAGGCTGTCGTCTTACATGTCCAGTAATCTCATTGAAGGCTACGTGGGTGTTTGTAAGACGTCCTATCTCTTCTAGCATATCTTCGTTTAGACGCTCCTGGACGACGAAGCCGTCCGGAGTAAGTATGTAAGTAACCTGTTCGAGCATCTTCGCCAAGTGTTTTATCAAGGTCCATGCTTTCGTTTTTGTGGCCACTATTCGTATAGTCAATTTGCTTCGGTTTGCCACGATCTTTTCTCCAGGACCGAACCACGTGTTGTCTATACCATTCATCCATTTCCGAGTACCACCTGTCGAGACATTAGTGAGGCTTATGCGGTCAGAGGGAAGTGCTAGTGGCGGACATACGCATTAGTCGGACGAAACTATCATTTCGTATATTCATCTCCATTTCACCGAGCCCGGCATCAAGCTCCGTGATTGAAAGACCCCAACACTCGCGCATAATTTGTAATGCTAGCCTCTCCTTTAAAGGGGTCGATTCCGTTACATACCCGTGTAGACTCATATCGATATCCTCTACGGGGGCTGATTGGATTCCTAACGGCACCCATGGGCTAACCTCTTTGACCCAATTAAACCTCTTGATGTCCGCCGACATTCTATCTGCTGGTTTAGACGTAGATGAATGGTGATTTTTTTTGTAGTATTTGAGATAACCATAAAGCTGAGCGCTTAGAAAACCGTCCATTAGATCGGCTTGCAGCTTACGGAATCTTCTTTCTGGAATGGTGGTCTCCGACTTTGGTTTTAAACTATCGATATTTTCATAAACTTCCTCCGTGGTCGGCGCCTCTCGTTGGAGCCCGAGTAGAGACTCGAGATTAGCAGGCCGGTTGTCAGGCTCATCGTCAAGATCCTGGGAAACATAAGGATGACCTTTCTTTTGATATAGACCTTCGTCCCTCATAATAATTACAGAGGCGGGCTTGCCTAACACATCGATATTGAGGTTTCCTGAATCCTCTTCGAGGACGCGATTGCGTGAAAGACGTCTTTTGCGGAGTTCCAAGGACCTGTGGCCACTTCCTCTCCCACGTTCGCGTTTTCTATACTGGCTCTCATTGTTATTTTCCAAATCTGGATCTCCATCTCTAAGGCTTAGGTCCTGGTCAATGGGGTGGGGGCTTGAGCCGCTGTAAAAGCGTTCTAGTGTTGTACGCTGGGTTTGAACAGATCGATTCGGCGTTTGAAAGAGTTGAGGGCTCTGCCGAAGAAGACGTAGTCGGCATCTTAGACAGATTGCGCCGCCAGTCACTTTCGCGGCTAGCATGAGGAAAGTAGGGAAAGGTGTTCTGAGCAGCTGGCAGAGAGAAATATATGAAAAATAATATCTGCTACAAAAGGTAAAAGGGCATGAGTATGTAAAGGCAACCCATACTAGGTAAATAATAGACTAAAGAAAAAAAAATTGAAGATAAAATATTTTGCCCCAAACTTTTTTTTTTTAGTCTACTTCCTAATTAGGCGATCAGCTTCAAGATTTATCTACGTACATAATGTACCTAGCTACATAGTATAATTAAGCCGGGTAAGGCAACCTCGACGTGAGTTTGAGGTACGTATAGATTAACCAATAAGAACGACCTAAACTAGTGCACGTAGTTAATCGATAAAGTGAAAGTGGCGGAAGTGGGATCTCTCTGTACGCGTACAGAAAGTAATTAAAACGCGTCTCAACCGAATTTCATCTCCTCCCCCGCTAATCCCGTAACTTAATTCTATAATATTCGCATCACGCACAGCCATGCCTCCACAGACTCAGACCCAAAGACGGCGCAGAACAGGCAATAACGATGACGCAAATGAAGCCCGACGCAATCGCCAGTCTCGACGCAAAAATGAATCAGATGATTCTGAGGCTTCCGAGGAAGATCAGGATGGTGATGTCGATATGGAGAGGACAGGTGACGGTACGGAAGACCAGCTAGTCAAAAAGTTGGTCCGATATGCCTTAGCATGTGAATATGCTAGGATTCCTATTAAGAGAGATGGTATTCGAGACAAAGGTAAGTCGGGTTCATTTAAGATATTCCTGCCCGTGATCATTCCTTACTAAAAATAAAAAAAAAATTGGCTACACATAGTGTTGGGAAGCAATGCAAGATCGTTTAAGCGTGTGTTTGAGGGTGCCCAAGCCCAGCTTCAACAAGTTTTTGGCATGGAGATGGTAGAATTACCCATCAAAGAAAAACGTACCCTAAAGGAGAAACAGAGTAAGGATTATACGGCGTCGTATTTTACTATCTCCTACTGACCTGTTAACAGAAGCGAACGCCAGAAAAGCGGCTTCACAAACCACCACATCTTCCAGACAATACATCTTGGTTTCGACCCTGCCACCCGAATACAAATCGCAGTCCATAATCGCCCCGTCACGAATACCGAGCACATCCGAAGAAGCTGCATACGTTGGGTTCTACACCATGATCGTCTCGTTAATCGTCCTCAACGGAGGAGAGCTGAGCGACACCAAGTTACGACGATACCTAACTCGTTTGAACGCCGGCCAGAACTTGCCCATGGACAAGACTGATAACGTATTACAGAAAATTGTGAAGCAGGGTTACGTGGATAAGGTGGTGGAAAAGAGCGACGGCGACGAGGACGCCGTGACATGGTGTATCGGATCCCGGGGAAGAGTCGAGGTTCCGCCTGAAAGCATTGCCGCAGTGATCACCGAGGTTTGGGGCGAACTTCCCGATGATTTCCACAAGAAACTGCACAGGAGCTTGGGAATACAAGAGCCTGAACGAGCCAATGATGAGAGTGCCATCCCTGAAGAATAAGGAATAAGCGTTGGGAGGCACTTTGGATCAGACGCTAATGTACTTGACGATACCCACCAATAAAACCACGTTTCGCCCAAAACCATTTCTAGTGTAGATGTAGTAGGCATATGGATCAGACACCTTGTACGCTGTAGTCTTTATGCTCTTTCACCAGATCAGGACTAATCAATCCCCTTCCACCGCCGTGAACTGTCCGATCTATATACGACGCACCGATATGTCGACATCGTTTGATAGTTGCCTGGTGCACAGACCGCGTCATCTCGATCGAGCTACGTAATCATTCTTTTCGATTAATTATGCCCCCGGATAGGCTCTTCTCCCTCACGAGGAGGTGGCGGACCGCATGGCTGTATCATCTTCCGTAGTAGCTGGGCTCGAACTTTAGCGGCGGGCTCGTTCTGAGCGAGGGAGATATAGGCCAATTGGGAAGGGTGGCCGACGAGGCTCGAGTACGTGTCGCGCGCAACATTCGTTCGCCATTCCCACGATGTCGTGTCTGGGTGACCAGTGCCGATATACTTGGCTTGCAGTCGTTCGAGCTCCTGCTGGGTGCGTAGTTTGTCTGCCTGTACGCGCTTAGCTTTGGTCGTATGATCGAGTCAGTCAGACCTACCATGACTGTATAATGATTTCTTTTTGATCTAATAAAGGGAAAGAAAGAAAAGAATTGTATCGAGTGGCGTATAATTTAGCCTGTTATAGCGGATGGAGCGGGTGGAAAATGTTAATCTTTACTCAAGCCACCAGTAATTAAAGATAACCAAGTTAGGTACTCTTTGCTTGTTTTGTATTATTATTCCCAAGAGAACCCTAGTATATGTATGTTGCTGCAACCTGGAGAAGAAATAGACAAAATACTTCCAATTTGGTCTAAGCTCCTCTTACAGTTTTTAGACCGTTTTCAGACGGTCTAGTTACGATAGCTATGATACACCTCCAGAGGGATGGTACAGGTTAGAGGCTCCACATGAACCAGAATAAAACTACAAGTAACTTACAGAGTAAATTTTATGAGAAAGTACGTTGTAAACCAATTCTGCCTTAGCACATCAGGAAAGAGATCTCGAATTTTCGAAACCAAAAAGTAAACGCCAGGGAATTTCTCATACAAAACTCCCTGGCAGTTACTTGTAACTACCTATGGGGCAGTGGAGCCTCTAACCTGTACCATCCCTCTAGAGGTGTAGTTAGACCCAGTAGGGGATTCCTCGGCATCCCTGATAAGACGATCACTCATAAGGTACAATAAAATCGAAATGAATAACGAATCCGCGTGGTGCAGTGGTTAGCATGGTGCTGTAAGTAATTACAAATATGTTTCATCTAGTTCGTCACCACAGTTTACTAACAAATCAAATAGCTTATACTTTCTCGGTATTGAGGAATGCATAGGTCGTGGGTTCAATCCCCACCGTGGATATCCTATTTTTTTTTCTGTTCCTATCTCTATTTCCTACCTATATCTTGAACCTATTTTCATAGGTATATTGTTTGTCTTTCTTTTGCATTTTTGGGACCGATGTAAATTTGAAATTACTCTTTTCATGGATGTGCTATTACGTTATATATTCGTAGCGTAAGTTTCTCTGTTAAATTCATAGCTTTTTCCAAAGGAAAATTGATTACATTGTTTTTTTTTTTTTTTTTTTTTTTTTTTTTTTTTTTTTCAGGTCGACTGTAAAGCTCAATCTTAAATGCACATTCTTCATTGCCGTTGTAATTTAATCCGGTAAATATTTTTCCACAACTTTGAGCAGCTTAATAGTATTTACCTATAGTTACCTATGTATTATATAATTCATTGTTGCATGAAGCTCCGACATACATCGAATGTAAGGCTGCAGGTTTCAAATACGTACCTTTATCTAGATGTGGATAAGCATACATGTACCTAACCCAGCCAAGCTTTAGTAAGGGTTACTTCAATGGTTCGTTAGTACCTTTCCAAGTCCCAATCAGCACCGAGCAATACTTGACACTGCAATCTAATACAACAAAGTACAAAGGCGCGTCATATAGCGGCCTATAGGTATAAGTAGATATCTCACCGTCGCATCCTCGCATCCTCGCATCCGCAACACCAAGCTTTTTATCTACGTATGCTTCAGATAACCAACCATATTCCCAACTTTTACTGCGCATAGATTCTAACCCTCGTTGGCCTCATTGGCCTCGTTTTGGAAACCATCGGTCACGGTGTCTAGTCACTCATCTCACCACACGGGAAACATAGCAGAGAACTCCATGAAACCCAAAGGTATCTAGCCTGCATATGACCCTGGTATTTGTGATTACTTGCCTGAAAATATGCTGGAACCATGGGATGAAGCGATCGCCCTTCAGAAGGAACGCCAATCCTGCATCGACGATGTGCAATCTATTAAAACATCATGCGCCAGGGACCACGGCAAGAGGCATCCTATCGAGTGTCCAGAATGCTGGACCCGCCTGCTCAATCGCATAAGGGATCGATATCTCAACTCTGCTTCCAAAGAGTGGTTTTCAGGCCGTCGGCCTTTTTTGCTTGAACTGGATACCATGTTTTCCAAGGCTCACAATTTCGAGGTCGATCTCAAGACTATCGAACAGCGTATAGTCGACGAAAAAAAAGAATGGTACAGAGATAAAGTAAAAAATATAGGACTTCAACATGCTACAAAGTCTCCATCCGAAGATCGGATTCTACAGTTGAAAATCAACGACCGGAGCATATCCGCAGACCAGCTTGCCTCAGAGCTGAGGACGTCCTTGAGCGACGGCGCGGTGAGAAACCACGAAGCATTCGACAAATTTATAGAGCAACTGAGGAATGCTAGCTCACCACAAGCACGCGCCGAAGCCTACGTGAATACATTTTTTCAACCCGCTCATGATCCCCGAGGCGCCGCAAAAGCCCAGAAGTACATTGACATGATCAGGGATGGGACGTCCATCGCCGATACCATCAATGCCATGATCCGTGATCGTCATATAGCTAAAGGCGACCAGGATCAGAAACAGGCACTTCATAAGCAACTCGAGGAACTGAAGAGGGCTAAAGCAGCTCACGAGCTAGGTAAAGCGAAAAATGATAAGGCCCAGCAGGATGAGACCAGGGAAACGACGGTTTCTGATGACCAACGGGACCTACCGCCGTGTTCGGTATGCACGAAAGCCCTCGATGCGCAGGATTTCATTATATGTCCCTTGTGCCAGATTCTAGGCGATTACTACGGACTCCGCGTCGAGCCTACACTATTCTGCTCCCAAAAGTGCGAAAACGAACGCTATGTAAATTGCCCCCCCTAGCGTAATATCCGCGGATGAATTCTTACCACTTACTCCTTAGGAAGCGCATGTCGAAGCGGCACACGAGTGCGCATCCGGTCAGAGATGCGTCCTCCTCCACGATGAAGACGTTGAGATGGACGACGGCAGAACCGTCTTGGTGTTCTGTCGGGAGTGTGTAGGAACACTTGGTATTCCTTCTGTGTTTTGCTCGGCTCGCTGCTTTAACGAGAACTTTCAGTACCATCGCGATGGAATCCACGTTTCTAAGCGGAAGAGCACCCAGCATGACGCTAGGGATGAGAATCAGCTTGAATTTGACCCTGACGACAAGACGAGGTATAGGGCTAGAAAAATCGAAGAGCATCTAGTCACATTTGACAATGCCATAGAGGAATGGCAGCAAAAAACCGGCTTCGCCGTGAAGTAAGGCCACAGAAGATATAGAAACCTCCGACTTTCAACTTCTCTTCTGATATTTGTATAAATTAAAAACGGAGCTGGCTAAAATAAAGAAGGGTGACGACGCATATCACGGTCAACAGCTTGCATCATACAAGGTTTTTTTTTTTTTTTTTTTTTTTTTCCTTTTGTGCCGAGCCTGGTATACGGTCTGTTACATACCTAGGAACCTAGCTTGGGTAGCTTAAGTGTTAGGGACCGTAGACCATGTTGAATGTGGCCAGAATGGACGGGTGTAAAGATAAAATGTTACGAATATAATTCCCGGTAATGCTTCGCGGTGTACCTAGGTCCTTAGCAGTGAAATACATAGGTACCTAGGTAGGTAACCTCTATGCACTGGACGTGCCTAATACAGTACACGTATTGCAGGTGATACCTATAAGTCCCCGAAGCTAGGTGCCTAAGGTACCTATGTAGGTATGTAGGTAGATAGATAACCTTAGGTGGTACAGCCTGGTTCAATAGGAACTATAGTAGAGGTAGGTACCTAGGTATGTTAAGGATACGGTACGTAATAAATGCCCCGCAGTTAAGTTACATAAGCTTGATATCTCCGAGGGGTTATTCTGAATTTAGTAGAAGGCCGAGACCTATGGAAAGCTTTCCGTGCTCGGCGCCGATTGTATTTTTGACCGAGCAAAGGTAATTGATAGGGAAAAAAAAGCTACTAAAAGCGTCCGCCGCGACAATATCGCAATTGGCATTTTTGCCATCTGTTGCACTGTTGAAAAGCCAACTTCTTTCTCACACCTTTAACCTTCCCCAAGTGGCCTATATCAACCACATTTAACCACGTCGACCCGCGATCCGACTCAGCGCATCAAATATGTCCATCGTCTCAGCCCTAAAGGGCGACTTGCCGCAGCAAGCTCGATCATTGGTGAGACTTATCCTTACTATATCTAGACATGTACTAGGTGCTTGGTGTTTGGTGCTGTAGTGCGCCAGCGGTCCCGGACCCTGACCCCATGCAACTCTATATTTCTCAACCATAAAGTAAACTAACTGCTGCTGTTCTACTTTCTAGTACCGCCAGCTATTACGTCAAGGCGAGCAGTTTCAATCATACAACTTCAGAGAGTACGCAAAGCGCCGGACGAGAGACGCATTCCGAGAGAACGCGGGCGTTCAAGACCCTAGAGAGATACAGACCCTAATACAGAAGGGGCTTAAAGAGTTGCAGATGATGAAGGTATATTATCTATATCACCTATATCACCTATATCCCTCGTAGCCGACCGACAGCACGCAGAGTAGCACGATGTGATGAATGACGCAACTAACAGGCTTGTTTCCTCTTCCTATAGCGTCAGACGGTCATCAGCAAATTCTACCAGTTAGATCGATTGGTAGTCGAGGGCGGGATGTCGGTATGTAATTTTCGATGTTTATCTTCCGCGCGGGCGTATGTAGTTGTTAACCTATGCCAACAGGGTAAGGACAGCGGAAAATCGGGAGATATCTCGCGGCAGAAGGACACAGGGTGAGCATTCAAGTCTCATGCTACCACATATGCTCTAGACGGCATCTGCTAATTTCTATACGTAGATGGGATTAACATCACCCTCGGCGATGCTATAGACTACCTGCAACAGGGTCGCCTCGTTCTTCTTCTCGTGCGTCTCGCTTTTACCATACGAGACGTACTACACCTGTACCATTACGAACTTATTGTACATCAAGCGCGCGGTTGAATTATATAGGCTTGTGGAGTTCACTCTCCTAATTCGCAGGAGTATCAATCAAGTCTCATTAGAGCAGGGAGAAAATGGAAACGGGATCAGGTTAGGATCTGGTTAGGATCTGGTATGCATGAGACGGGGAACAAAAGTACGGCCTGCGAGTAACACAATGTAGGGTATGAAGGGGGGGTATCGAGGTCATCTCTCATCATGGGTACCGATGGTCAATTCAACTCAACTTACCTCGCATGAACTTGCAAGTTACGGTTCTCTAATTGATATGATTGATTGACTGACTGACTGACCACTGAGATATTCGCTTCAAGGCAATTAATATTATATATAGGTACTAAAGGATAAAAAGTAAAAAGAAAAGAACAGATCCAGATTAATTAATTCACTAAAGAAAAGATTGTCCCAACTTGCTAATATGAATTGGAACATTAATAATGACAACTTTTAGCTAAATCGTAATAAAATAATTACTTAAGGTAAGTAGTTAGTTGTATGTAATAATAAAGTTCAAAGTTTGACGCTTTCTTTAGTTTTGTCAGGCCTTACCTAACCCGAAATTGTTAGCTGATGGAGAAGAAGAGAAACGTGATTCAAAAAAGAAAGAGAAAGAACATATATCCCCTTTTCTTCCACCACCACCTCCTCCTCCTCTTGGAGTGAGAGGGACAGAACACCAAAAAATGTAAACAGATGCGGTGAGTGCGGATCGAACGCACGACCTTCAGATGTTCTAGAATGAAACTGAAGTCCTAACTTCAGTCTGACGCTCTCCCAACTGAGCTATCCCCGCCCTGATAGTTGAGAGGACGGATTGAAAATTTTACTTATAGAGATATACTGATTTCGTCGAATTAGGATGAAGAATCTAGCAGCAGTACATAGTAGGAGAGGAGATTTGAAGAATGTAAGGTAGGTAGTGGTACATGGCCGTATGTACCGTACCATATTAGTTACGTAATGTACTTACCTACCTACATTAGTACATACATGT